GATGGAGAGTCACAGGGTGCCTGTCTTAGTCTGTTTGGGTTGCAACAACAAAATACCATAGACTGGGGGCTTATAAAGAACAGAAATTTATTTGTCACAGTTCTGGAGGCTGAGAAGTTTACATTCAAGGTGCTGGCCGATTTGGTGTTTGGCTTGGGCTAGCTTCTTACTTCATGTACAGCTGTCTTCTTGCTTCTCATGCCCTCAGATGATGGGAGGGGCAAAGGAGCTCTCCGGTGTCTCTTTCATAAGGGCACTAATCCCATCCATGAGGGCTCCAATCTTGTGCCCTAATTACCTCCACCCCAAATATCATCACATTGGGGAATAGGTTTCAACATGTGATTTTTTTGGGGGGGAGGGCACAAACATTCAGTTTATAGCAGATATTATGCAGTAGATTGTAACAATTCCTTCTGAGCATTTCCCTTTTTTCATTTGCTTTGAATGGTTTTACATTTCATGTAACACTGCTACCAAGGTGACTACCCCCTTTTCTTTTCTTTGAACTTTTGGATATTCTTTTGAAATCCATCTTCTAAAACAATAATTTTTAGGTTAATTCACTTGTTTCTCAGCATTATTTAAACCCTAGGGCAGTGATGGCGAACCTTTTGAGCTTGGCGTGTCAGAATTTTGAAAAACCCTAACTTAACTCTGGTGCCGTGTCACATACAGAAATTTTTTGATATTTTTAACCATAGTAAAACAAAGATTTATATATATATATATATTTTAAAATATTTTTATTGATTTCAGAGAGGAAGGAAGAGGGAGAGAGAGATAGAAACATCAATGATGAGAGAGAATCATTGATTGGCTGCCTCCTGCACGCTCCCCACTGGGGATTGAGTCCACAACCTGGGCATGTGCCCTTGACTGGAATCGAACCTAGGACCCTTCAGTCTACAGGCCGACACTCTATCCACTGAGCCAAACCAGCTAGGGCAAGATTTATATTTTTGATATTTATTTTACATATTTAAATGCCATTTAACAAAGAAAAATCAACCAAAAAAAAGTGAGTTCGCGTGTCACCTCTGACACGCATGTCATAGGTTCGCCATCACTGCCCTAGGGTTTTCTTGTTTCTAAATTCCTGGGCCTCTGGTTCTTGTTAGGTCAGGGAGGAGACCTGAGGTCAAAATTCCCTTTTCCCCACCAGGCTAGGGTTTGATTTGTCTACATATCTCTACCTACAGCCATAGCTAACCTGAAGCCATCAGTCAGACATCCCCCGAGGGCTCCCTGACTGTGAGAGGACTCAGGCTGGGCTGAGGGACCCCCGAGTGCACAAATTTCATGCACCGGGCCTCTAGTGTCAATATAAAGTAAGAAAATACATAATTAAGTTAAATAGTTAAAGGATAAAAAATATATCATGCAAACACTAATTTAAAAAATCTATAGTGGCAACATTAATATTAAACAAATTAGATTTAAGAGCAAAGAATATTGCCAGAGAAATGGCCATCATTTCATGATGATAAAACAGTAAATTCGTGAAGAGAGCATACAAATTCTAAGCATATGAGCACCTAATAACAGGTTTGAATAAAAAGAGAAGCACAATCTGATGGAACTGTAAGAAGAAATACACAAATTTATAATTATAACAGAAGTTTTCAATATTCCTCCCTCAATAGTAAAAAAGACTAGAGAGGAATTATTAATAATATAAAAACTTAAGCAACACTATCAACAAACTTGTCCTAATTGACATTTCTAGAACATTCTTCCCAACAATAGCAGAATATACATTTTTAAGTGTATATGTAATGTTTACCAAGAGGAACCATATGTTGGGCCACTAAACAAGTTTTACTAAGTTTTAAAGGATTCAAATAATACAAAGTGTGCTTTCTGACCAAAATGGAGTTAATTTAAGAATTAATAAAGAATATCAGGTGAAAATATCCAAATATTTAGAAATGAAATTATATACTAAACAAACCATAAGTCAAGAGGAAAAAGTCAAAGGAAATTTAGAAATATTTTCAGCTGATGGAAAATGGAACAGAATATATAAAAATTTGTGAGATAAACAAACAGAAATGCTTAGGCTTAGAGGGATATTTATAGGACTAAATGCCTGTAACAGAAAACAACAAAGGTCTCATATCAGTTTTCTAAGATTTTACCTTATAGAAACTAGAAAAAGAAGAGCAAACTAAATCCAAAGTAAGCAAAAAGAATAATACTAGAGGCCCGGTGCACAAAATTCATGCACACAGGGGGGGGGGGGAGGTCCCTCAGTCCGGCCTGCACCCTCTCCAATCTGGGACCCCTCGGTGGATGTCCGACTGCCTCTCGCAATCTGGGACTGCTGGCTCCTAACTGCTCACCTGCCTGCCTGCCTGATCACCCCTAACCCCTCTGCCTGCCTGCCTGATCGCCCCTAACCATCTCTGCCTGCCTGCCTGATCGCCCTTAACTGCTCCCCAGCTGGCCTGATCATCCCTAACTGCCTCTGCCTCACCCTGCACCCGGGACCCAGGATTCCCTCCTCCAGCTGGCCGCAGGCACCCAGGACCTGGGCCGGCTTTGCCAGGGCTGGCTGCAGCCACAGGGGATTGTGGGTGGGCAGCTTCACCCAGGCCTCAGCTGCAGGTGCCTGGCACCCCAGGGTGTGTGGCTTGTCCCTCTCCTGGGCCACAGCCTGGCTGGTCCCCATTCCTCTCTCGTGAGCTCATTTGTGCCTGGCAGGTCCCCATTCCCCTCTCCCCAGTGTTGAGTGTCTGAGCAGTTAAGGTGTGACTGCGTGAGGGCGTGATGGCATGAGGGCATGATGACCATTTGCATATTAGCTCTTTATTATATAGGATAGTGGAAATAATAAAGAGGAAAGCAGAAATCAATAAAATAGAAAATAGAAAGGCAATACATAATACCAATAAAACTAAAAGTTTGTTCTTTCAGAAAAATTATGAAATTGATAAACCAGACTAATCAAAGAAAAAAAAGACACAAATTACTGTCAGAAATAAGGGGAGGGAGGGCAGGCTTACAAAAACATCTGAGGCAACTTTTCAGGGTGACTTGAGGATATGTTCATTGCCTTGATTGTGGTGATGGTTTCACATGTATATATCAAAATACATTAATTTTAACTTTTAAAAACTGTATGTCAATAAAAATGTAAGTGAAAAGGAAAAAAGGGACATATGTAATACTTTCAGCAATAAAGATTTATTAAAAATAAAAGAAATAAGAAAGAAGCAGGTCCCCTCAGACAACAGAGGCATTTCCATTGAGACCACTTTCTCATTATCTTAATGAACACAATTTCAAACCAGGGAAGCCTTTCCGCACAAATGTATTTCACAGCAGAATTTAACATAGAAATATTATTTTTCTCCATCTTTATTTTTCAGAGCAGATTCCTTTGGAAGAGTAAGCTTTTCCCACCCAGTCACCATCCAAATGACTGGAGATCAGAGTTACATCTGCCCTATTCCATTGCTTCCTTAAGGGATGATTCCTATGTTTGGTCCACATTGCATCATCTACAGGGCTCCCAAGGATATACAGTTCTTTCAGTTATTTGCAAAGTTTTGGCAGAATTTTCCTCCATATCGATTATCTATAGCAATCCCCAGTGAAGGTGTAGATGTTTATTTTTAGGACATGCATCTTGATTCAGTTACATGTATTGCTCTTAATCGCTTAATTTAAATGTTCTCAACCTCGGCCTCACATAAGAGTCATCTGGGAGAAGTTTTGTATTGTGTTTAGATTTTAGGAAACCATCAGAAGCATTCAATTAGTCAGCTGCTCCATTCAGTAAGCCAGCATTCTGAATTTCCTTACCTTAAACTTTGGAGTTAAATTAAGAAACCTAGATCTGGAAAAACATGTTTGACAAATTGAGGGTGGAACTAAGGAGCCCATTGCTGAAATACGGATTATGATTAGTTCTTACGCAGCCATTTCAAGTGTTCTAATTATCTACACCACTGAGTTACACAAGTATTGATACAAACTCATATAAGATGTCCACATAAACACTACAAAAGTTTCCAAACCACAACACATTAGACACTTTCCATATTCTTCAACTTCAAGAACGAGAGGATACGGCTTGTAAGAATGCCTAACAAATTCAAACACCAAATACATTTGCAGTCAACATTTCTTTTACCTTAAAGAGGAAACATGTATCAAAGCAAGATTTTCTTGTCTATTCATTAATATAAGGAAATACTGCAATTTTAAAGGATGCAGTTTTTTCTACTCCTGACTTAAAAGAAATTGGGTGCTTTAAAGACAACTGAGATAATGGTGCTGTTGTATGTATCAGATCCCAAGGCTTATGGAAGCATAAAGAGACAAAAAATAAAAGCTAAAGCAAAAAGAAGTTGGTTCAAAGAGCACAGTTGGTGAGTCTGTGCCTGGAGGAAGCCACGGGGTTCGTGGGAAGCAAACAGTAATAACAGTCAAAACAAGTAACCGAAACATGGAGCTGAGATGGATGTGTCAGTAGCAAGGATAATCCCCTGCATAGTTTTCCACAGTGACTTTTGGTGAACTAACGACTGAGAAGGTGAGGTGATTGTCACTTGGAGAAAAGGATCTCCCTCCTGAAAAGTTTCCCCAGAGCCCCCTTCATGTCTCTGTTCCTCAGGCTATAGATGAAGGGGTTCATCATGGGGGTCACCACTGTGTACATCACTGAGGCAATTACGTCTTTGTCATTAGAGTTGTTTGATGATGGGAAAATGTATAGAACTACAATTGGCCCGTAGAATAGAAACACCACGGAGAGGTGGGAGCCACAGGTGGACAAGGCTTTGCAGATCCCTTTGGTAGAGGGGACCCTCAGGATGGAGACCCCAATGCGGACATAAGAGGCCAGGATGCCAGTCAGTGGTGTGATGATACCCAGTGCCCCCACAGTGAAGATGACCAACTCATTGATGGAGATGTCAGAGCAGGACAATTTGAGCAGAGCTGCAAGATCACAAAAGAAATGCGGGATAGTGTTATCAGCACAGAAGGACAGCCTGGCCAGGCTGAGAGTGTGGGACATTGCACTGCTACATGAAAATAACCAGGATACAGCCACTAGTGAGGTACACAGTTTTTCCCCCATGATGGTGGTGTATTGTAGAGGGTGACAGATGGCCACGTACCTGTCATATGCCATCACTCCAAGGAGAAGGTTATCAATGCAACCAAAAAATATGAAGAAATACATCTGTGTTACACATCCTGCATAGGGGATGGATTGATCCTGAGTCTGCATGTTCATGAGCATCTTAGGGACAGTGACAGATGAAAAGCAGACATCAGTGAAGGCCAAGTGGCTGAGGAAGAAGTACATGGGCGTGTGCAGGCGAGAGTCCAGCCTGATGAGCAGGATGATGAGCAGGTTGCCCAGCACTGTGGTCAGGTACATGCCCAGGAACAGGGTGAAGAACACGCCCTGCTGCCCTGGCGGAATGGGGAGCCCTAAGAGGAGGAACTGGGACACGCTGCTGTGGTTCTCAGGCCTCATGCTCCTCCTCTCTCTTCTGGGGATGAAAGGGCAGTGAAAAATGTCAGAGACTTTGAAAGAGTGATTATAGCCACCACAGTAGGGTCTCTTACTTTCTCCTGGAGAAAAAGAATAATTTCTTGAATACGTATCATCAGCTAGCTCTGCCAAAGCGAGCAACAACCCTCAATGTCAAGCATGGTTTCTTTCAAATTGTATGCATGCATATAAGCATAACCAATGGACACAGACACTAGGGGGGTGAGGGCATGTGCTAGGGGTGGGGGTGGCTGGGGGGAGTTCAGTGGGGGGAAAGGAGACATGTGTAATACTATATGTAATACTTGAAACAATAAAATAAAATTTAAAAAATAAAATAAACAAGGAAATAAAGGAAACATTAAGACCAGGTCCAGCATAAAAGAGGCACACCTTATTGAAAGTTTGTGTGTGTGTGTGTGTGTGTGTGTTTTAAAAAGCAACCAGACTGAATTTTTTTCCTCATTTTTCCTCCCGTCTATGACAAACACCCCCCCAAAAATCCAGCTTTAAAGCCATTTTGCAATGGTTGTGATTTCCAGTTAAATACCTTGTAATTAAAAAAAGAAACCAGAACAAATTCATTCTACTTATTATTTTAATCAAACAGGTTCCTGGCACTATGCTACCAAATTGAGATGTAAGAATAAATGGGACACACAGGACCTCTTTCCTCAGCCCCCTGACCGTCTGGGCACCCCTGACAGAGGACTGAGTAAACGTGAAGCTCTGCAGCCAGATTCCTTGTGCTGCAAGTCTGGCCCCACCACTTTCTGGGTGGATGAGTTGAGGGGGTGATTGTCTTCGCCTCATGTTGTGCCACAGCTTGTGAAGATACCAATGTCACACATTCCTAGAGTTCATAAGTGGGTTCTAATTCAAGACACATCAATATATAAGAACAGTGTCCTGTACAAAATAAACATACACAATTTTAGCCATTATTTTTATGACATGCTAACTTTCCAAATAAAGCCAAGATCAAATGCAGGAATTTAATTAAACAGCATAATGAGATGGTCAGCACACTCTTCTGATCTATACCAGGGCTATGAATTCTGATACCCTGTGCTTCGTGCTGTTTCCTGAGTCCTCACTTTCAGTGCAGGAAATCCAGGATCAAAGTAAAGAGAGCAAACCTTTGTGGTTCGAGGACTTTTACAGACTTTCATGTCTGTTCACCAGCTTCAAAACAGTGGGCAGGAGATCTCCTTTTACCATCAGAAAGAGACCCCAGAGGGAGACAGCCCCAGGTCCCTGAGTAGAGCAGCAGTCATTTGGGATAACTGCCCACCTTCCTCCTGGCCCCTTGGGAAGGAGCGTGTTTAGGGGCCACAGGAGCTGAGCTGTACCTGGAGTCCCAGGAGAAAGGGTTCTTAATGCCAGTGATACCTCGGGCCTCTGGTCAAGTCTCTGGATGGGAAGCAGGAGGTTCCCAGTTGCCCGTGGCCTCTGCATCACAATTTCAGCTTCTCTGCCCAGCAGTGAATGGCCCAGGCAGTGTACGGCTTCAGCAAGCTGGCAAAACGCTACACAGACCTGTGTTCCAACACAAAGCCCCTTCAAATGTACTGGTGTCCCCACCCTCTGTGGGGTCCTATAGGGTAGGGTCTGTACCTTGTTCAGGGGCAATGGGATTGAGTCTGTAGGCTCTGGGAAAAAGATTCTGGGCTCCGTCCCCTTACTAAGAGAGCATGTCTGAGAGATTTATCAAAGATCTCTGAGACCTGGGTCCTTCAAAGTGGAAATAATAATAATACTCTTCAGATGAGTTGAGGGATGATTAAATGAGCACATAGTGTAAGCTTAATAAATGTTCAGGGTTATTGTCAATATCTTTGTAACACCAGGCATCAGCTATGGCTGAAATAGGCACTTGGTAACGTTGAATGATTCATTTGTTCATTCATTGACACATTCTCTTAAGTAATTATTAAGGTTCTCACAAAAGTAAGACAGTGATATATACTCTGGAGACACAGTAGTGAATAAAACAAACAGAAATTCCTCTTGGAGAGCAGGGGGAGCAGAAAACAAGTTTTAATTAAAAATATGGTAGGTAAAAAAAAATATGGTAGGTAAATGGCAAAAGTGCTCGGGTACAACAAAACCAGGTTTGGAGCTCTGTATCCATGGATCTGTTTCTGTTTTGTTTGTTCCTTTATATTGTTCTTTAGATTCCACATATAAGTGAAAAATCATTTGGTATTTGTCTTTCTCTGACTTATTTCACTTTAGTATAATAATCTCTAGGTCCATCTTTGCTGTCCCAAATAGTACAATTTCATTCTTTATAATGGCTGAGTGATATTCCAGTGTGTGTGTGTGTGTGTGTGTGTGTGTGCGCGCGCGCGCGTGTGTGTAAAATAGCTTTTTTATCCACTTGTCTTTTGATGGGCCCTTGTGTTGCTTTCATAGCTTGATTATTGTAAATAACACTGCAAAGAACATAGGGGTGCATGTATTCTTCTGAATTAGTATTTGGGGTTCCTTCAGATATATACCCAGAATGGGAATTGCTGGCTTATAAGAAAGTTCCATTTTTAATTTTTGGAGAGAAACAATAACAACATTAAGTATGCTCGTGTTATTCCTCTATTGAATAACTTCTAGTGGGTTCCCAAATCATTCAGACTGAAAACCAAAAACTCTGCTATGGTGATCAATTTTATGTGTTAACTTGGCTAGACTACAGTATCCAGATATTTGGTCAAACATATTCTAGATGTTTCCATGAAGATTATTTTTGAGATGGAATTAACAATGCAGCTAGCAGACTCTGAATAAAGTAGATTGGCCTCCAGAATGTTGCTGGGCCTCATATGATCAGTTGAGGGCCTTAAGAAAAAAACTGACTTCCCCCAAAGAAGAGATTGTGTTCTCAGAAGACTGCCTTCAGACTCAAACTGCATCTTTTCCCTGAGTTTCTAGTCAGCCAGCCTACTCTGTGGAGTTTGGACTACCAGCCTTCACAGTTGCATGAGCCAATTTCTTAAAATCTTCTCTTCTCTCCCCCTCCCCCTCCCCTCCCTCTCCCCCTCCCCTTCCCCTTCCCCTCCCCTTCCCCTCCCCTCCCCTTCCCCTTCCCCTTCCTTTCCCTTCCCTTCCCTTCCCCTCTTTCCACACAAACCCCTATTGGATCTATTTATCTGGAGAACCTTGGCTAATACACCTACTATGACTGTAAGTACCCTACAAATATGGTCTCCTGATATCTCCAAACTTATCACCTACTATCCCTCCCCCACTCAGCCTTGTCCAGCTCCAGAGGCCCCCTTAATGTTCCTGCAATGGGCCAGGCACCATCTCACCTCAGAGTGTTTCAAGTTGCTGATTTCATGCTTGGAATGCTTTTCCTCAGATATGCCCATGGCTCACTTACCTATCCTCACTAAGGTCTTTGTTTGGGTGTTACTTCTCCAATGAGCTCTACTTGGGCCACACAATGTAAATTAAAAACCCTGACCACACCACTCTGATTCCCCCCTTTTTTCAATTGCAGTTGACATTCAATGTTATATTCATTTCAGGTGCACAGCTTAGTAGTTAGACATTTATATAACTTACAAAATGGTCCTCCTGAGAAGTCCAGTACCCGTTGACACTATACATAGATCTTACAATATTATTGACCGCATTCCCTAAGATGTACTTTATATCCTGTGACTATTCTATAACTACCAATTAATACTTCTTAATACTTCACCTTTTTCAGCCATCCTCCCACCCCCCTCCCATCTGGCAAACATCAGTTTGTTCTCTGTATCTATGAGTTTACTTCTGTTTTGTTTGTTCGTTTATTCTCTCTTTTTTTAGATTCTACATATAACTAAAATCATATGGTATTTATCCTTTCCTGTCTGACTTATTTCACTCTGCACAATACCTTCTAGATCCACCCACATTGTTGCAGATGGAAATATTTCATTTTTTTGATAGGCATTTTGCTCCCCCTTTCTATACTTCCTTTATTCATGGCAGTTTTTACCTACAAACAAAACTTAGAATTTATTTCTTTTATTTCAGATTCAGACCCATCTCATGTAGAGCTGAGATTCCAATAAAGAAACAATGACAATAAAGGGAATTAGTAAAGCTATGATGTGTTAGAAGATTAAAAACTGCTCTGGAGAAAGAGGAGCATGAAAGTGGGGTCAGGAGGGTTGGAATATACATCCTATGTGGGGATGGGGTGTCTTTAAAAAAACCTGATATTGCAGAACTTAGACAATCACCTGGCATATCATAGTCTCTAATAAATGTTTTTACATGCGTGAATTATGAATTCATGCATTTAGCTTTCCCCTATTAGAAGTGGGAGCTCTCAATTTGGGAATAAGACAATAATCATTTCATGGACTAACATTAATCAGACAGAGATAGCCTATTCTCACCACAGAAATCCAACTCAGAGGCAAAAATTGCAGTCTTCCTAGAATGTGGTCCCTGGTTAAGTTCTTGTCACAGGCAGAATCAAATTAAAGTTTATTTAGGTTTTAGAAAAACATCAAAAGCACTTTATTAACTACTACATTAAAAGGTATAGCATTCCAGGCTTTATTAAACAAAACATTAGAAACTTTACTGAATATTTGTAGCTTTGGAAAACAATAGATAAGAGAGAGGAAATGAAGTGATTTATATCTCATTTACTCTGACAGACAGAAACTGTGAATTATAATTAAAAGCCATATTGCCTAATCTTGAGGTTTTTTTCTAACCTATGAAAACAATATTTCACAAAACGTAAACTGGCTCTGATTCAGGGTCCAATTGTTCATTTCCTTATAGACAAAGTAAGTACCATAAACAGACATAAGAATTCTGACCAGGTGTCACCTAACAGTTAGAAAATCAGGGCCTGAGAAGGTACAGCCATATTTCACACCTTAATTTAGCTTGAAGCCAAGCTGGTGTTATCTTTTAAAAGGAAGCATAACATGCCAGTGTCATTTTCCTTATGAGAAAGATGGTTGGTTTTT